CTGGTCCCATCACCCCCTGGGAAATAGAAGGGGAAGACATGGAGGCAGTGACATATTTTACTTTCTTGGGCTCCATGATCACTGCAGATGGAGACAGCAGCCACGAAATTAAAAGACGCTTGCTTCTTGGGAGGAAAGCGATGACAAACCTTGACAGCATCCTAAAAAGCAGAGACATCACCTTGCCAACAAAAGTCAGAATAGTCAAAGCTATGGTTTTTCCTGTTGTGATGTATGGAAGTGAGAGCTGGACCATAAAGAAAGCTGACGACTAAACAAACGAACGAACGAACCCTGTACAACTCATTTGTTGATGTGGATCCTTTCAGCTGCCTTGATTTTTGGAATTTCCTCAGGAATGGATCCTGGCTGTAGAGACAATGATACAGCACTTGCACTTCCAAAACTACTGGAATGCCTCCTATGGTAGGGGTGACTGCCAGTTTCCATTTACAGAGGGGGTGACATGTTGGGAAAGATTCAGAAGGAAGCCAAAGGGAAAACAGGATGGGTCTAGAAAACCAAGCTATATCTTGCTAGATGGCTTAAGGAGCTAAGTGTAGCCAGTCCAAAGGAAGTAAAAACAAGGAGGAGTTATGATTCCCATTTTTAATTATGGATATAGATACTAGTTAAAAAGAGCAAGGAAGGAAAGAGCTGTGCTCTCCTGTCAAGTGTAGGGTGTGAATGGTTTGTTTACAGACCCATCAAAGATAGCTAAGAAATTCCTACAATTACTCCTTTCCTACCGTATGGAATGTGTAATCCACTTTGAATATTAATATGTTCTTTGTGGTCTGGGGCAACAGATTTGGCCAGAGTTGGACCACTCTGACATTCAGTTATTTGGCTACTGCCTGGCAAAGGACAAAGCAGAGCCCATTTCTGTGTGATGTGAACAAAACTTGAACACAACATTTTCCAAAACAATCAGCTTCCTTTTATTCTGATTTGAAGCAGAGGCACACTTTGCTGTCAGAGTTGGGGGGGAAAGTTGCTTCTATACATGTATCCCCATGCTACATATAACTCCTTGCTCTGCTGAAACTGCCTGTATGTCTGTATCTGCTTGTATATCTGGGCGATCATTTGTGGTCTACCTTATGACTGAAAGGAGGCAAGACACCGAGATGCAACAGGCAGGGTTACTGCATCTCTGACTGGGCAGTAATCCAAATTTAATTTCTTTCTGTTTTTGCACTTGGAGCAAAGCTTTAAGCGATGAATCAGGTAAACGTATATCAGAGCTTGGGAAATATATGTATTTGGACTATATCTTCGAGAATCGTACCGTCAACGTGGGCTGTAGCTGTGCTGTCTCAGCTATTTTAGAATTTATAGTACTACAAAAAAGTAACTTTTCCAAGCTCTAGAAAATGTGTACATTTATTAAATGTGCACATTTATTAAGACACCTGCATAGCTTAACTTACTGTCCTGCTGAATCTACAAAATAGGTCACTGTTACAAAACATAGTTAAAATTGGCTGATCACAAAAGTAAAACACAAAACACCTTCTTCTGCTTCAGCTGAATATCATGAAATATTGGTTAAGTATTTTTTGCGTCATGTGGCAAACTAGCAGTTCACAGCATATTGATCTAAAACATCTGTTTTGAAGTGCTCTGTCAGTGGATCTCGTTCTCAGATGTGAGGCAATTTGGCTGCAACATCTCTCACCTCATTTGTCACCAGGGTTGTATCTTGTTTTCCTTTCAACATCTTTGATTCTTGGAAATATCTTATCTCTCTACTCATCTCTTTTCTTGGCCTTTAGGTCCAGCTGGTCACAATAACTCCCTCTTAACATCACTTCCCATCCCAGGACGGTCTCTACATTCACCACTGGACATCAAGCATTTTCTCACCTTCCGTCTCAATGGAACACCCCCGCTCAACCTCTTCCCCAACTTCAACACGGTGAGTATTTCTTGATCTGCTTTAAAGGACAGAAGGTGGGAGGCACATTATCTAAGAGGAGGGACCATCTGCAGTTATTGCTTTCTCCCTACAGAGCACTGCAACAGTGCATCAGTTAGCAGCAAGACTGGCCTTCATTCTTGGGTCAAAGCCCAATGTATAGCCATTGTTCACCCTTATGATGCTCCTGCCTTTTTCTGGCCTTCTTTGCTGGTTCGTTGCATAATTTGTCCTGGAGATCTGCTGACTTTAAGGTCACCTGGGACATATATGCACAGAGCTGAAGTTATGTGTGGTATCTAGAGAAATACTGCTCGTGCAGGATGCCTTCACACACCCGCTCATGCTCATCAAGTTGTGTCCATCCTCTTTCATTACTGCTGGAAAGCTTAAGCTGTCTGACTACATGCTTAGCAAGGGGCATGAAGGTCATTGAGCACTGTTACAGTACCATGGAAATGGTCATTTGATAAGGTTGCACTTCGTTAGGTGGTCTTTTGGGGTCACGTTGTAACTGTGAATTCCCAGAAAATTGACTTTTCCACTGATTTCTTCATGTGCCGAGTGGTGCCAACTGTGCTTTATTTCTTTTATATATTCTGTGCTTCTCTAGGAAAGTCAGATCTGCCAGTTATCTGCCAGAGACATTTGTTTACTTAGGAACATTTTTCTACAACTTCTTGTTGTTAAAAAAACTCAAAGTAGTTTAAAATAAAAACAGATAGAAGAAATGTAATTGTTAAAAAATAACAAAAAACAATGGCATCCATTAAAAACCAGGGGGAACTGAAAGTAATTACTGTGAGACAAACAAATCAAGGAAATGCCAAGGTAAAGAAATAGGTCTTTAACTGGTAGCAGAAAGACCCAGCTCTGAGAGCCTGGTAGTTTTGAGTAGGGAGATCATTTCTCATGGAGGGCAACAAGGCAGAGGAGACCCTCCTGCAGTTCACAGCTGAACAACCTACATCAAGTCATAGTAGAGTAAGCAGAGCATGGCTTTACAGAAGATGGCAGCAACAGCTAGGAATTTAGTCCCTAGAGTAAGTCTAAAAGCAGGGAGGACATGTTCTCGAAGGACAGACATGGTTCTGATTTATTGGGGGCAGCTATGCAGGTCTATCCAGCACAGCATTCTATGTCTCAGATGTTTCTGTCAACACCAGAAGACAATATACCCATCCCTGGGTTTTGCATCTGTATTATCCAGTATGCAGAGGTTCGTTGCCTTGCATAGATAACTTCCATTTAGCTGTCATGGTTGTTTTGATAGTTGTGGTGGTGGTGATGATTTCATGATGAGACTTCCTGTCCCTTATTTCCAGCAGGCAACTAAGTGGGAAGGCTGCCCTAAATCTTAGTTTTGGAAGAAGTGAAAACAATATTCTTCTCTGTCTATTCCCAAGTGTAGCTCTAGAAATATCTTTAATATCTATTCTGCCTTACCTACTCCCAACTATCTATTTTCTAACCTTAAAAAGCCCTTAATTTCAGCTTCAGTCATTTTTTTGCCATTATGTTTGACAGACTTCTAAACATGGGCTGGTCTTTGACTTGAGCCATAGTCAAAGCATTCATTGCAGCATTCAATTTATTTTCTCCAGTATTCTTTTTTTTTCCTCCTTAAGGTGTAAGGCCTTGGGAAGGGAACACCTTAAGAGCCCTCCCTAAGTTTCTGTAGTTGTTTGACCTGGGAAGAACTGCAACATCTAACAAGTAAAGCTGTGTTCCATTGATTTTTACCTACAACAAATGGACATCAGACTGAAAATTTGGGGAAATTAATAGCTGAAATCTAATTGATAGAAGTTCATTTTCACAATTAATATTCAAACAGTCTGTGGACCCTTCAAAGGGACGGTTGGAGATACTAATTCCTGTGCTTTTCTCAGAAAGTAAGATCTGCCACACCTTTGAAGGTTAATTTAATGTTACAAAGAACAAATAGAGATTGGAAAACCTTTTGGACAACCCTCAGAATTCCTGAGCCACCATGACCAGCATGGCTGGGGGATTCTAGGAGCTGGGCACTGTAATCCAAAAGAGGAATTTTTCCAGACTCTAAAAATGAATCTAATGATGTGTTGTAGCCAATCACAGCTGAACAGTAATAAGACAAAGCACATTGCTCAATCTGTACTGATGACTTACCTATTTCTGGACATCACATAAGGCAGGGATTCTTAACTTCAAATCCTCTAAGTGACCTGGGACATGAGTACCTTAAGGGCAAGCTTTTCCCATATGCGTCCTCTCCTCATGCACTCCCTTTAGCATCCGTGGTGCTTTTATCTTGCAGTCCCCTATCTAATAAAGTACAGTGGTTGTTCATGAGGTCACAGAGCCTATAGAGTGACCTTTCCACAGAACTCCACTTGGATCCAACATAGTTTGTAGATGTCTGTCAGAAGCTTGGCTTTTTCAAGTGAACTTTAGTATCGGCCAACTGATACAGTGGGGCTATCTTTCCCTTGTACTGATCTAATATTTTTACAATGGGATTGGTTTACATGATTTTATGAGGGGGGGGTCCTAGGTAAATGAGGTTGTATATGTTTTGTTACTTGAAGAAGTTTGTAAGCAACCTTGAGTGCTGTTTTTTAGTGGACGGGGGTATAGATGTTGTAAGTAAATAAGTGAGTGAGTGAGTGAGTTACCTTGAGTGCTATTTTTTAGTGGACGGGGGTATAAATGTTGTAAGTAAGTAAGTAAGTAAGTAAGTAAGTAAGTAAGTAAGTAAGTAAGTAAGTAAGTAAGTAAGTAAGTAAGTAAGTAAGTAAGTAAGTAAGTAATCTGCCTGCTGGTATAATTATTTCTTTTCCTAATGACTTCTGCTGCTTTTTGTTTTGCTGGCTATTGAAAAACGGCTATTGCTTAATTGTTCATGTTCATTTCATTTGCTGTTGCTAGTCACTTGGAGTAAAATATAGAATACAAGTGCTTGAAAGGAAACAAGTGATTTTTTGCATTAGAAGACGCAGAGACTTACAACAGCTATGTTCCGTGTTCACTCAACTGAAGAAAATCTGAATACAGTGGTGCCTCGCAAGAAGAATTTAATTCGTTCCGCAGTTAATGTTGTCTTGCGAAAAAATTGTCTTTCAAAATGCGTTTTCCCATAGGAATGCATTGAAATCTAATTAATGTGTTCCTATGGGCACAAAAAGTCAGAACAAAATCAAATTTGGTTTACAAAGGGTTTATTAAGTGCTCTTTAAAGCCATACATATTGTGCAGATGATTTTAAAAAATTTCAATTAAAAAACTTTAACTTTTTAAACATCATAGAAAAACATTTAAAAATCAGCAAACATGAGGCAGGAACAAAAAATGGAAAACATTCATTGTGCGAAGCACGGCCATAGGAACATTTGTCTTGCGAGTCATCAACCCCCACTGCCAAAACCATTTGTCTTGCAAGTTTTTTTGTCCTGTAAGGCATTTGTCTTGCGAGGCACCACTGTAGTGTGTATTTTATCTTCTTTTTAATCTGTTCCATGGGCAGTCTGGAGATTCTGTATGGAAAGTTGAAGTCATACTTACCCTGTTTCTCCAAAAATAAGACAACCTGAAAATAAGCCCTGGTATGATTTTGCAGGATGCTCGTAATGTAAGCCCTACCCCAAAAATAAGTCCCAGTTAAGTGAAACCCTGATCGGTGGTTGTGCAGCAACCAGAATATGACATGACTGTAAAATAATACATCCCCTGAAAATAAGCCCTAATGCATTTTTGGAGCAAAAATTAATATAAGACCCTGTCTTATTTTTGGGGAAACACGGTAGATGTTAAAGTACCAGTATGTGTCCTTCAGCTGTACTACAAAAAGCAAAGCAAAAAGCAAAGCATGCTGCTTATATATAGTGCTTCAAGCACTCTCTGGGCGGTTTACAAGTTAATTATGCAGGCTACACATCCCCCCCCCCAGTGAGCTGGGTACTCATTTTACCGACCTCAGAAGGATAGAAGACTGAGTCAACCTTGAGCCGGCTACCTGGGATTGAACCCCGGGTTGTGAGCACAGTTTTGGCTGAAGTATACCAGTTTAACCATTGCGCCATGAGGCTCTATTGCAGCAATGGCAAACCTATGGCACTCATGCCACAGCTGGCACACAGAGCCTTCTCTGTGGGCATGCAAGCCATAAGTTGCCATAGAGAGCTGGTGCCCCATCTTCTGATCCCAGATTTTGGCACTCCCCTCTGCTGGTGCAGTGGTCCAGCGGAAGGGTGAAATGGCAACCATTACCAGTCTAGCCCATTGGGGGATTGGAGGACCGGTAAGTATTTCTTTGTTAATTCTGCCCATGTGCGGGGGGAGACACAAGCATTTAACTCTTGCAGTGCAGGAGCAGTTGTTTTTTTCTAAACTAAAACCTCAGTATTCGGGTTTAATTGCAGTGTTGGCACTTCGAAATAAATAAGTTGATATTGTGTTGCAGTTTGGGCACTCAGGCTCAAAAAGGTTCACCATCACTGGTCTATTGCATATAGAATTATTATTATTGCATATAGGATTGGAGAATTAGAGGGAGGGAGGGTCCTGAAGGATAATTTCTTCCTGCATGTAGAATTATTATTATTGCATATAGGAGTGGAGAATTAGAGGGAGGGTCCTGAAGGATAATTTCTTCCAACTTTTGTGCTTCAGAGTGGAATACTTGTTTCTGGCTAAATTGAATAAACCGATCTTTTATTATATTTATTATAGTTCTGAGTGTTTTGCTTTGCAAACCAACGTCATGCAAATTGACCAGGAATAACTTGCAATTCAAAGCTTTCTAGGGACTTCTCTTCAGAATTTGTGCACAAGTCCACTCTGCCATGGGGATTATAGGTTACATTTGTAGTTACATGTAAAAGATACAAGCAAAACATTTTACTTCCACTAGGGCTCACACATGTTGCCTTTCAGCATCTGTTTCTAAAATAACAGCATATGCAGCTTCTCTTAACCAGTGTGACTATTTGGGTTGTGGGGTCCCCGCTCCATTCTCTTGG